CCAAATCTGCCTCTCTGTTGATGGAAACTTCATTGTTCCAGCTGCTTGGCTAAAAATCTTGCAGTCTTTTCTGTCTCTTCTCTATCATACCACACATCAAGCACATCAGCAAATCCTGCTAGTTCTGCTTTCAGAATATACCCAGAATCCATCCACTTCTTACCTCCTTTCCAGCAAACATCCTGGGGTGAGCTATTTTCTCTTGCTTGAGTTACTGTAAAAATTCCCAGCTGGTCTATTTCCACCCTAGCCTCCCTACCAAAAACTGATTTGCAATACAGCAGTTATAGTGATCCTTTAAGTGAACATTAGACTATGTTACCTGTTTAAAACTCTTTCAGTGGTTTTGAGCAAAAGTCAGTCTGTAATAGTCTTCAAGGCCTCTCTAACCTGACTGGCCATCACCACCTGCCACCCACCATCTCTTTAAACTAATTTCTCATTCTCTCCCATATTCACTCTTACCTAGTTCCATTTGATTTTCTCTACGAGTCCTCAGATTTTCTCTACAGGTACTCTCCTGCTTCAGGCTCTTTGCACTCACTTCCTTCTTCCTGGAACATTCTTCAATCTCCTTTAAATATTTGCTCAAATCTCACAGTCTCAACAAGGCCTTATCTACTCAAAGATGCAAATTCTTGGCCCCATCCCTCTGTACTCCCCAACCACTTTACTCCCCTCCTCCCATAGTTATCATCTTTTAACCTTTTAAATGAATTGTATATGTCTACTGTTTTTGGTCTGTCTGCCCATTAGAATGTTTAAGTTCCATGAGGCAGGGATCTGTGCTTGGTTTACTCATGTGTTCCAAGTGCCTAGAGCAATGCCTTGGCACATAGTTCGTATGCAATGAATGTCTGCTGTATGAATAAGGGACAGGAACTACTGTGAGGTGGTTTAGAGTTAAAAAAAAAAATCACTTGAGCTCCACTAACCCTATTCTGATAATAGACTGCAGTAGTACTTGAGTTCCTAGGAATTAGAGCTGGGTTTGGAGCCACCGTCAGCCAGTACCTGAAAGGCCTGAGCCATCCCTCTTCTGCGTTATCTTGCTAAGGGGATGCAGGTCTTTTTTTCTGGAAGGCTAGGAAGGCTCCTCCCCTCAAAGGTATCTAGTTCCCCCTTCATTCAAAGGGCTCAAGGCTATGAAATGACTGAGGTCTGGGAATTGGCAGTGGGCTATGGTTGTTTGATGGTTCAAGTTAGGCTTCTTTGCCAGACAAAGTTATTATTATTTTTTGGTTATGCATAGTAAGTAGGACTTAAGTAGACCTCTAACTATTTGGAGTTTGCCTAGGGATAGCACACATGATTAGCCCTTACCCTTTCAGACACATTCATCTTGCTTCCCATTAGTCTCCACACTTGCTTTGTCTCTGGTCTTCACATGTTGCTCCTTGGTCTCTCACTTAGGGATCCCATCTCCCTACTGAGATCAGGAAACCCTTTGCAATAGCAGTGTTTTACCTGTATCCCCAGCCTATAGAGCCTAGTCACTATTTGACCTTCCTTCTCCTTCCAACTCATTTCTCAATGCTGTGTTGAAGGGCATATGCCCTGAACCGTCTGGGGTCACAGAGGGTGGGCAACCATCATAAATCCCTCCCAATTTTCCTACCTCCCTAAGTCTTTGGATTTTTTTCTCTATATCTATACATTTCTGACAATCAAATTCACTTAGTGTGTGCCACCATTGAGACTTCAGTCAACCAGCCGATCAGGCTATTACAGCCCTTCCATGCTGTTCATCTTATCACATCTAGCTCGGAACCTTTGAGTGCACCCATAGAAACAAGTTCAATTTGATCTGTTTTCCTGTGTGATGTATCCATCAGCTCCATCTTCTAGGATTTTGTCTGATTGATTAGTAATGTTTGAATGGTTGGAATTCTGATATGCGACCTCTCCATCCCCCAAAGCTTGACAAGCTCTGATTGCAGCTACAATTCTAGAAACAATGGGGTAGAAAGGGCATGAAGAAAACTGGTTTTCTTTTGCAAGGAATACTGGCTTACCCTCAGGATCTTCAAGAACCACCATCAGTCAAGAAAGCAGGAGCTGCTTCTGTTGGTAGGAGAAACTGAGTGGGGTTTGAAGTATTTGAGTCATTAGATCCTTTCCTGTTCCCAACTGTCAGGGTCCCCTTTTCTAACCCAACATTAGTTTTCACCAAGGAGACCTAGCTAGGCTGGGCATTCAACCAATGTAATTTGGCATCCTACAGGATCAAACTCTGTTTGCTACCTCAGTCTTATGGCTGCCCGAGGTTAGAGGTTCTCTTGGCATAGTCATAAGAAATTCCCAGGGGAACCAGCAGTTAGCATAATGGCTATGTCGCTGGACTCCCACGTAGTTGACCACGGTTTGCGTCCCGGACCCGGTGGCTTGAAACTCATGCTGGGCGTGTGTGCGTGCGTGCCCAGGATCCCGAGAGGAGAATGGAAGAGAAGGGATTGTGGTATGACCATCCCCCCTGGGGGGTGGGATCTCACTTTCTATCTCTCTGTCTCTCTCTGTCTCTCTGTCTGTCTGTCGAGCACTCGTGCCCTATAGCAAAGAAAACCTCTCAAAAAAAAAAAAAAAAAAAAAAAAAAAAAAAAAAAAAAAACGCGCAGACAAGTCCTATAGCAAAGAAAACCTCTCAAAAAAAAAAAAAAAAAAAAAAAAAAAAAGAAAAAAAAAAGAATTCCCAGTATGGCTTACTGAGACTTAAATCAAGTTTTCTTTCCTTTTCATGCTGTTGACAGTTTGGGTAAGACAATCCTTTGTTGTCAGGGGCTGTCCTATTGCAGGATGTGTAGCATCCCTGGTCTTTATCCACTAGGAGTATCTCTTCAAAGCTGTAGTAACCAAAAACTGTTTGCAGACCTTGCCACATTGCTAATGTTCTTGGGGGTGGGGGAGGAATGCATCCCTGGTGGAGACAACTGCTTCAACTTAAGGAATAAGGACCTCAGAAATCTTTTTTTTCCTCTCAAGTTCGGTTAGACAGCCCACTCCATAGTGCTCATGTTTCTCAGGTTTTTGGGATTTCTTGTATAACAGGGAAGCACGAGAATGTTGGGATCAGCATATGGTGTAATGGTTACATCACTGGACTTCCACATGGCTGACCATGGTTCAAGTACCGAACCTGGAAGCTTGAAACCCACGCCAGGCTCATGTGTGTGTATGCCCAAAATCCTGAGAAGAGAGTGGAGGAGAAGGGATTGTGGTATGGCCATCCCCCACAGGGGGTGAGTTCTTACTTTTTGTCTGTCTCTCTGAATCTCCAGTGAGTGCATATGCTTTAAGCAAAAATATCTCTCTCTCAAAAAAAAAAAAAAAAAGAATAGTAAATTGTTTTGCTATCACATGCCATGAACTTTCTATTAGGTCGTCGGGAAAGTCATGATACATTTTTGCATGGAAAAAATACATCACGACTTTTCTGATGACCTAATATAATACTAGCTGTCCTTACTACCTTTCACCCAATCAGGCCCAGAGAATCAATAACAGATTCACATTTATGGGGGCCTGTTGTTTAGAACTCCTCAATGTGACCCAGAGTTCTAGCTGCTCACACCAACATTGCATCTAGCTTCATCAAAAACGGAAGGTATTCAAGATTAGTAGGGAGCTCTCAGAATTTTCTAGGATGGCTAAAAAGACAAACTTAGAGGCAACATAGCCAAGAGCCCTGCTGAAACCTGGGATAGGAATGTTCCAGTGAAAGCCATTTTTCTGCTGTTGCTGAGCAAAAATGACACGGCTTCAACTGTGTGTGTGCCATCGTCCCAGGGGCTGCAGGTTATATATAGATGTGTAGACCACACTCTGTGTGGAAGGCAACTTTTCTGGCGTCTACTCCAGAGAGGTGAAATTCACAAAGTGGGACATTTTCCAAACAAAGCCAGGTTGTTCCAGTGGTACTAACACAGCCAAAAAGTAGAACCATCGTATCAGGCTAATGAAAAAGAAATTGGCACATATGTTTTCATCAACTTCGTATTTCTTTTTCGCAAATAGTGAACACAAGAAACATTGAATTTCTGTAAGTAAGGGGAGGTGACATTTTATTATTGCCTTTTGACAAAAAAGAAAACTTCATTTTCCATTGTGTTGAAGGACACTGGCTTAATTCATACTGTTATTATGCTCACTGATGTCTTACAAAATATGGGACATATAAAAAATATTGCAAATAAAAATTATTTTCGTTCCAGTGGAGGAGAAAATTACGGGTTCAAAAAAAATCAAGTTTAATGTTTAAAAAAGTTATCAAGGTTTCTACATTTCTATAAATTCTGCCAGTTAAAAATATCACCAGGCATGTATTGATTACAGTGCACTTGCATGAACCCCTGAGCACTTTTATTTTGAAGTCGAAGCTTCTGCTCAGAAACACTGCACGGCAAGTTAGATCTTTCCACGTTCTGGCAGAACACAAAACTTGAATGTTTTTTAAAAAATATTCACTAACTGTTCTTTGTCAAAAACACTAAGTACGACTTTAAGCAGAAACTGTTACTAAGGATGTGCATCAATCAGCCACACCTCTCAGCTCCACGGGCACCACAAAGAACTCTCGGGACAGCAAACTTCTGCAGCTGCCAGTCAACATAGAATGATGTGTTGAAGGACACTGGCTTAATTCATACTGTTATTATGCTCACTGATGTCTTACAAAATATGGGACATATAAAAAATATTGCAAATAAAAATTATTTTCGTTCCAGTGGAGGAGAAAATTACGGGTTCAAAAAAAATCAAGTTTAATGTTTAAAAAAGTTATCAAGGTTTCTACATTTCTATAAATTCTGCCAGTTAAAAATATCACCAGGCATGTATTGATTACAGTGCACTTGCATGAACCCCTGAGCACTTTTATTTTGAAGTCGAAGCTTCTGCTCAGAAACACTGCACGGCAAGTTAGATCTTTCCACGTTCTGGCAGAACACAAAACTTGAATGTTTTTTAAAAAATATTCACTAACTGTTCTTTGTCAAAAACACTAAGTACGACTTTAAGCAGAAACTGTTACTAAGGATGTGCATCAATCAGCCACACCTCTCAGCTCCACGGGCACCACAAAGAACTCTCGGGACAGCAAACTTCTGCAGCTGCCAGTCAACATAGAATGACTTGAACCTGACTGAAGGTTCTAGCCTGGCACTGTCAACATGGGTGTGACTTCTTATATTTATATATGAATGCCTCTGTTTTTCCTAGGCTAACTTTGTAGCATTCCACTGGCACCAAAGAGCCGAATGGTGACATTTTGTCTAAGCACTCCTGGTCACTGGTGTTGAAGGAAGATGACACTGTCTTTGATATGCTGTATTTTTCTTCAGGATTCAAGCACTTCATAATTCCAGGCCCATCTGTGTGGCTGCCCTTGGACTCTGAAGAGATGCTGCTCTCTTCACAAATTTTAAGGCACCTTTGGTGATCTTCGCTAAGCAACAATACGATGGTTCCGCCAACATGAAGCACTCTGTGACCGGAAAAATGATATTTGGTATGAGTACTTCTTTTAGAACACAAGCAACCCCCTTTGCATAAAATATTTGGTGTTTTCTAATTTGAAATGTAATCTACTTAAACATAAGGATTTTTGATAATTAAATAGTATCTTCCATAATGCATATTCATTATAGTAATTATGGAATCCCTAGTACAAATCTGCTTTAATTACCTATTTTCACTCTATTTAAAAAGCAAGCCTCAAAGTAATTTGTAGTCACATTATAATAAATGATTATACAACAGAGAAGGTCAATGACAGACTCCTGAGGAATTAGCATAGGGTAAAGTCAGTAGGCGGCGAGCAGAGGCCAGTCACCAGGAAGGAGTTAGGACATGAACAAAGGAATGGCAAAGGAAAGATTAGAAAAAGAAGAGCAGACCTTGTAATGTCAGCTTTTTGAGGAGAATTCATTGACTCAGTCATTCACTAGAAATCAGCACTGCATTTTTGTGGAAAAAGTGATGAAGAACATACAGTCCCGTGAGTTGCTGCAGCAGTTACTGATCAGCGGGAGAGGGAGGCAAGAGTCAAAGAGTGTGACAAATGCTACAAGTCAAAGTAAGTATGAAATGTGGACACATTAGGTGGGCACAGGAGTGAGGGCACGGTCTCCAGAGGCTAAGATGCTGACACTGTGAATTAAAGCACCAGGAGCACGCCAGGCAAAGTGATAGTGAAGGGCTATCAGGACAGAGAGAAGTAAGAGGAGGCAGCAATGGAAGCAGTCCAGTGTGGAAGGTGAATGAGAGGCTGGTGGGAGGAGGACAGAGTAGAGAGTCTGATTTGCAATGTGCTGACATACTTGTGGAACACCAAGGGTGCATCTGACAGACAGCTGTACACATGGCCTGGAGGGAAGGAGAAAGACCGGAGCCTGAGGTAGAGATGCACGGGTTTTCAGCAGTAACTGGAAGATAGGCTTGTAATGGTGGATGGGGTCATCTGGGTGGGAGTACAAACTGAGAAGAGAAAATGGGCCCAAGAACAGAGACTTAAAATGTAAGGAGGCACAGAAGAAGAGCCCATGAAATGGATATCCTAAAATTGAAAATCTGGACAACAATGTTATAGAAGCTGAAGGAGTGCCGTTTCAAGAAGGGAATGGTCTCAACAGTACCAAATGCTACAGGACTAACAGGAGACTGGGATGACAGGACATCATCAGTGAGCCTGGGGACAGTGATCTGAATGGTGGTCTCCTGGAGCACAGCAGGAAGATGAGGAAGCAGAGATGTCAAATGTAGACTAGTCTTGTAAGGAAGTCAGTTGTATAGGTCAGGAAAGAGGCTGACAGCTGGAGGACCACAAGTCCTCATCTAATCCATCAGCAAATCTAGACAATTCTTTCTCCAAACCATATCGCATACACATCTACTTCCTTCGTATTTTCCCTGGACTATAGCAACAATCTCCTGATAGACAGGTCTTGTTTCCATTTTTGTCACCCCCTCCCACACTCCTTCCCAGTATTCATAAAGAAGACAAATGTAAACGCCTACTAACTGTCCTTCAAATAAATTCCAAATTCTCCAGGATAAAACATAGGCCTCTGCATGATCTGACTCTTGTCTCCTGTCCAACCTCAGTAGCTGCTTGCTTCCTTCACCCCGACTGTCCTTTGGTTGCTCAAACTCACCAGACCACTTCACCTGGCACATTCACCCTTGCTGCTCACTCTGCATTGAATATTCATTCCCTGCGGCTTTCTCATCATGTAGATCAAAGTGTTCGCCCATTGCCTGCCTGAAGAGGCCCTTTCTATCTACCTAAGGCAGTTGACTGTTTTTCTCTTACTCCCTGGCAACATTTCCTATTTTACTTTTTTCATGGTACCAACAATGATCTGCAATGATCCCGTTCATTTTTTAAAGTTTGTTTATTTCTTTGGAGAGTGAGAGTAAGTGAGCATTTGGTACAGGGTCTTCCCACCATGATCCACCTCCAGCTTCAGTCAGCCACAGGGCACAGTCATACACATGCCTAGCAAGTGCAGGGAGGTGTGTGGATGCAAACCTGGAACCCTGGCATGTGGTTAGCCTCAGTGTCGTGTTACCACTGTGCCACCATCTGGCTCAGCTGTTTTCCACACCAGATGAGCAGGGAACCTCACCTGGCTTACTCACTGATCTATCCCCAGTGCCTAGTGCAACATGTAGGATATGAGCAGACCTCCAAAAGTATCTCAGAGAAGAGGTGACTAGATCTCCCTGCAAGAAAGAGGTGATGAGTAGGCTGAAGAGGAGAATGAGAAGCAGGCAGAGTGCAATTCTTGAGGAGTAAGGGACTGAGAGAAGAGACCCAGGCTAGAAAAGAGAAACTTACTGAGGGGAAGAGGTGGGCTAAAGACAGACATAGCTGTATACTATAGGACAGAACCTCTACGCATGTAATATAAGTAGCAGTAGTGGTAGTAAAATAATGGCGATAATAATGGTGATGATAGCGGCTATTTACTGAATACTTGTTATATGCCAGACACTGTTTTAAATGTTTTGTATTACATATTATTTTACTCTCAGAATTATCTTTTCAAGTATGTCTTGTTAGCATCATTCTGCAGATGAAGAAACTGAGGCACTCTGGTTTTAAGTAATTTGGTCATAAAATTAGTTTGAAAAACAGTGTAAGAATGTTCAGAGCATTGCTTTTTATTAAAAAAAATGGGAATTACCTACATGTTCATATTCAAGTACTGGTTACAAAACGGTGGTTACAAAATGGTACATACATAATACTATGTTGTCTGGAAAAGGTCATGATGCATTTTTCCATATAAAAATGTGTCATGACTTTCCTAATGACCCAATATTATGGCAACAATTGAAAATTATAACGTATGCTGAAACAACTGATCAGAAAGGAGATTTATGACATACTATTGAGTGGAACAAAAAATCAGGTGAATTAAGGATGATCCTACTATGTACAATTGAAAACATATATTTGGGCACATGTACATGGCGAGATGCTTAGCAGGACAGTCATTTATTTTTTTAAAATAATGGGAAAAAAGCAAAAATCATCTCAAATCCTGCCACTCAGAGATGATTTATTTAAGTATTTTTTTGTAGAGAGATTTTTGCTATAGGGTTTGTGGCACTTGCCAGAGAAACAGAGATAAACAGAGACAGAAAGCAAGAAATCACCTTCTAGAGGGGATGACCACATCAAAAGCCCTTCTCCTCCATTCTCCTCTCAGGATTTTGGGCATGCATGCACACGTGCCTGGGGTGAGTTTTAAGCCGCTGGGTCTGGGACTTGAACAGCGGTCAACTACATGACAGTCCAGCGACATACCCATTCCACCATCTGCTGGTCCCCAGAGATTAGTATTTTCTATAAATGTTCTTCTATGCATCTTTCCATGTACATTTTTTTTTTAAACTAAGAATGCTGTTCAGAAATGATAAAGCAATAGTTACTAAACTGCATTCTTTTGAACACCAGTGTATCAGTGTTAGATGACATCAACCAACCTAAAAGAGATTTTTCTTTTGCATGTAAACCTGTAAGACTAGGGGTAGACAACAGAAATAATCCTCAATTATTTAACCATGAAACACATTAGTCTTAGTCACCCCCTACAAATCCTCTCCTCCAGGGAATCTGGTGTACTCACTCTTCCTCGAACTTACCTTCTGCTTCCATAGTCACTCAAGAAATACTGAACATCTGTATGTATAATATCTGACAGGGTCTCCTTTTATATTCTTTCCAAACTTTCAACCTGTACTGAAATCTTGCTTTTTCCCTGAAAGCATGTCAAGCCTCTTTGGCATGCAGTGCCTTCTCCTTCCTTTAGGCTGAGCAAGTTGAATTTCTAAATTCTGCTCATATTTTTACATGGCTACATTTGAGAGAAAAACTCAAATATTGTACTTTTTGAATTCCTCACAATGTTCTATACTCATGAAATGGTTAATTCTTAACAAATCAAAGGAAGAAATAATTGAGCTGAGAGTTCACAGCTCAGGTCACCAGAGGAATCATTTGTCTGTCAATTTTTAATTCTGATTGCAGGTGCTTTCTCAAAGAATCTGGTTTTGTGTTACTCACAGGGCTATTTCCACTGACTATTAAGAATAGGTTTACTGACTGATCTCTTGTATTTTTCTTATTTTTACTAACAGATTCTCCATCCTTTCCATTTTCTTTCAATTGCCAGAGGGAAGAAATAGAGAGAGGGAGGAGAGGAAGGAGGAAGAGGTGGAGTGAGAAAGAGGAAGAGAGAGAGCTACCCCAATGGGGTATGATCAGACTGCAATTCCATTTTGTCCAGTTCTCCTTCCTGTCAGGATTCTGGGCATGTAAGCTCATGCACTTTCTAGATGCCTTTCACTGTTCTAAGAGTTTTAAATCCACTAAGCCCTCAGAACAATGCTATGAGGTAGGCGTTATATTTAAAGACATGCAAAGCCGTTAGGCAACCTGCTTCTGACTAAAGAACCATTAAGTAATAGAGCCAAGATTTCAAGCCAGGTAGCCTGGCTCCAAAGCCTATATTATGCAACATTGCCCGTGTAAAACTTCAACCATAAAAAGTAAAAAGTCTAGTAAGAAAGGTAGGGGACAGGTAGTAAAGAGGCTTGGTCACAGGAGAAGCAAAGTCCTTTATACCCAAACACATATACTCAGAACTGGGCCTATTGAGGCATTCTAATTATTCAGGAAATCTTGACTATCTTCTCAGGCTCATATCTATTGTCTCATTTTCAATTACCCAGAATAAAAACTACGACTGGCTTAGAGAGAGCCAGGCTGGTGGAAACAGTGCTGAAAGAACTGTCTACACAAAATACTGCCCTTCTCTGACTTCTGGAGATGTCTAAAATGTGCAGTGTTAGATGTTCAGTTAGGGTAAGCCATCATCTTTCCAAGTAGTTCCAAGTTAAATGTACTCATTATTTACACATATTAGTATCTCACCATGACTTGGTCAATGGTGCAGATGGTGAATTTCCTAGTTAGGCTCAAAAGAGGCAGTTATTAACCCTGGTTGTACAATTGAATCATCTTGGGAGTTTTTAAGAAATACTGATGTCTGAGTCCTACCCCAGATCAATTAAACTAGAGCCTGGGTGGGGAGGCCAAGAATGGGCACCAGTGTATTTTAAAAGCTCATGAAATGATTTAAAAATGAAATCAGAATTAGGGAACCAGCAGTTAGCGTAATGGCTATGTCGCTGGACTCCCACGTAGTCGACCGCGGTTCGTGTCCCAGACCCGGTGGCTTAAAACTCACACCGGGCGCGTGTACGTGCGTGCCCAGGATCCCAAGAGGAGAATGGAGGAGAAAGGATTGCGGCGTGACCATCCCCCCTGGGGGGTGATTTCTCGCTTTCTGTCTCTATGTCTCTCTCTGTCTGTCTGGCGAGCGCACACGTCCTATAGTGAAAATCTCTCAAAAAAAAAAAAATAAATAAAATCAGAATTACAAAATCTGCTTGACAAGAAGGTTATCAGGCAGAAGAGAGTATACTGCCCAGAAAGAGAGGCCCTAGGTGATAGGTCAATTTAGAAAGTGCATAATAGGAGAAATTAAGATACGGAAGGAAGCGTGGATTTACCAGCCCACAGGATCAGCAAGGTGGCTCTTAGTCGGGCTCAGATGTTGTGTTAAGCTTTCACTCTCCTTACAGAACGTTAGCCTTGGTACTGAATTCTGCCCATCTAAAACACGACTCATTTTTTCCCATAGGTAACACATTATTTATAGAGCAGGCTCTCGAACATTTGTGTTATCTTACTCTATCGAATGCCCTGCTAGGATAATTTAATATGAACCACCCCTTATTCATGTCCATTCGCTCCTATATACATTCTATGGTTCTCTCCTTTAGCAACTTAAATGATTAGAAAAATATATATCCAGGCTTCACTGTTTATACCTCTCAAAGAAATACTTCTACTGAATGATCTTCCCTTAGTAAACATTAGAAACCGTAACATGAGAAACATTTTTGCATCTTTATTTAACAGCCCATGTAGGTGGCATCCGTTCCGTTACGGAATGTACCTTGTGTAACAGGGTTCTGTGCTGTTGCTCGGTGGTGGTGTAATCATGAGAAGGTTAATCTGTCTGGACCCCAGTTTCTCATCAAAAGTGTTGGGGATTAACACAGAGGAAGTGGTCTTTTTCCGTGAGAATTAGAAGCAAACGTATAAATTACCTAATCTACGGACTAAAATATAGTTCACTTTTCATATTCAAATTTTAGGCAATACTCGAACAATAGTATTTTATAAATAAAATTTATGGTGTAAAATGATATAGATAACACGTGTTTCAATTATAAACTTCTGACTTAACATCTTAGAAAATGAAGCATAAAAACTCCTGGAAATTAGTGCAGTGTAATCAGACCTGAACTGAAAAGCTACGACATATTTTGGTTAAATGCCCAGGAGCTAAAAACATGATGAAAATAAATTAAAAAACTCACCTTTCCATTTCTTGCAGAATGCTTTTGATGTCTTTTCCTAACTTAAACTTTTTTCCGAATGGAATGTCAGAAATAATAACATCGACACTTTCTGATGGCAATGGCAATTCTGAAATAAAGAAATCGGAGAATCCTATTACAATAAGGTTAAATATTTACAACCTTAATGAAAAAACTGAAGTACATAGGATTATTTCTGCATATTAGAATAAAACTTAGGGTGGCTAATATTGTTTGTAAGGAATGATACAATCCTGAAATGCTTTGAAGGATCACTAAAGATAAATGGTATGGTTATTGTAGTCTGTCCTTTGAAAACTTTTTTTTTTTTTTTTAGGTATGACAAAATATGACATAAGTTAAGCAGAATTTTAAATTAACCAGAAAACTCCATTCTCTACATATGATATATAAATAGGAAGTTGCCAGGTGCAGGAAGAAATTTATTACATTCTCTAGAAAAATCTCTTACAAAATTATGTTCTATAATTTTCATTTCCCTTTTTATAGTTATACATTTAGATCTATTTGTTTTTGAGGGATAGTAAACATAGGTATCACTGCATTTTTTAAAGAAGCTCAGAGGTTAAGAATATGTAAGTCCTAAGACTAGAGAAAAGGCTACACAAACAGCAACCAACACAATGAGTAATATTACTAAACAAAATTAAACAGAGTGTCTGATCATTAAATCTAAACTTCTTTTTTTTTTTTTTTTTTTTTAAGAGAGAGATTTTTGCTATAGGGTGCCTGTGCTCAACAGAAAGACAGAGAGAGACAGAAAGCAAGAAATGACCCTCCGCCCCCAGCATGGGGATGGCCATGCTGCAATCCCTTCTCCTCTATTCTCCTCTTGGGATCTTGGGCACGCATGCACATGGGCCCGGCGTGAGTTTAAGTTGCCGGGTCTGGGACTCGAACTGCGGTTGATAACGTGGGAGTTCAGCGACATAACCATTGCATTGTCTGCTGGTCCCCTGAATATCTAATTCCTAACATTCTCTTTTCAGAAATAAGATGGTCATAAGAAAATCCATTCAGTCTTAATAGCCACATCTGAGTATACTTTCTCCTTTCTTATTTTATTTCCCACCCGTTATATAAATGACCTATTCATAAAGATCAAGATGTCACAATTTTCATTTTGAATAGCTTCTAATTCCACAGAAATGTAATGAAATGAAAATAATTTTTACTAAATACCACATCAATTTTTGTTGGCAGGACATTCCAAAACCAAAACAAAAAAAATTCTCTGTAATTTGGGAACGTCTAATGATGACTGATTGAATCTCTCTACTAGTTCTAACCATTACACAAGATAAGTAGGAGGAGTAGATTGTTGGAAAAAAAAATAACAGGACAATATGCTTTTAAACCTAGACAGGAATTCTTTTTTCCAAATTACATTTTATTTTCACACATTTAGTTTCAGAGTATTAATATGGGACATCTATTTGAGTAGTAGTTCTATACTTTTTTCAAAATGACTAAAGACAAGAAATAGACAATGAAGGCAATCATAGTAATTGAATGTTTTATATATAATTTACTCTTGAATTTGATCCTCAAGCCTTTCCTTTGCCTTACGCCACATACATGAACATAATACCCACACATGAATACATGAATTAGCTGCCTGGTTTGTCCAAGTTTGGTATTCTTTCTGGTATTCTTTCTCTCTTTTTTTTCTTTCTTTTCAGGTCCCCTTGCCCCGCCCGCCCCCGCCAGGGCCTGCTTGCTTGAGAGAGAGGGAGGGAGGGAGGGAGAGAGAGAGAGAGAGAGAGAGAGAGAGAGAGAGAGAGAGAGAGGGAAAGTCAGAGATCACACTCCCAGGGGGCTGGCCACGTCATAATCCCTTTTCATCCATTCTCCTCTCCAGATTTTGGGCACAAAAACACATGCACCCAGCATGATTTTCAAGCTGTTGAGTCTGGGACTCAAACCATGGTCAAACATGTTAGAATCCATCACTTTAACCCCATGTCACCTGCTGGCCCCTGTATTCTTTCTTTGTTTCTAAGAGAGAGAGATTTTTGCTATAGGATGCATGAGCTTGCCAGAGACCGAGAGAGACAGAAAGCAAGAAATCACCCCATTCTCCTCTAGGGATTTTGGGCATGCACGCACACATGCCAGGCATGAGTTTCAGCTGCCAGGTCAAAGAATCAACTGTAACTGTGGTTGACTACATGGGAATTCAGCAACATAACCATTACGCCATCTCCTGGTCCTATAGTCTCCATTTATAACCTATAACTTTCCTACTCTGATTTATATAATTTGCTAAACTGTTTTAAGCAATTTTAGAAGTTGAATTATCTTCACATAGATAGAAAAGAATAATAAAAAAATATGTCCAGAACTAAGTAGTGTCATCTTCCAACAGAACATAAAATAATCAAAACTTTTGTTGATGCAATTGAGAGTGCAGACTGTGGTGTCAGAGTCTGCATAAGACTCTGTTACTGCTGTGGGACTTTGAGTGCTTCAGTTTCCTCATCTGAAAAATGACCCCAAAATACCAACCACAGCAGTTAACAACTGAAGAAATAAAAAGAAAACATTTAGAATAGTGCTGGCACGTGGCAAGCACTCAACTATTAGCTCTTTTGTGGTTATTATTTACAATGCCCTCTGTGATGTCTACAGGACATGACAGAAAAGTGGAAACCAGTGAGTGTGGAATCCATTGGGTGGAAACCAGACTCCTTCTAAGCAGCTCTGCAGAATACGGCATTTCCTTCTCATCCCGTGTAGTTCCTCACAGGCCTAGGCAGAGCAACTGCCTCCAGGGGGGCTTCTTTCCTACTCTCCTTTTGTCTACTAGTGGTTCTCAACGTATGGTTTCCCGATCACCCAGATCAGTACCACATGGGAACTAAATTTAGTGTGTATTAGAATCAATTGAAGAACTCTGGTAAAACACAGATTTTTGGCCCCACTCCCAGAGTTTTTGTTGTGGACATTTCTAATATCATGACCTATAAGAATCAAATCACAGTAAAATCTTAAATTATTAAGTGTTTTGAACTGCCTTTGAACAAAAGGTTTGCTTGTAACTAAGGAGATAAGATTCTGAAATAGAAATAGCTTAAAACAAACAACTAAAAAAATCAGTTCTTTTTAACATCTTTGCAAAATGAATCAAGAACATGAAAAAAAAAAAGGCCAGTTTTAAAATACTGTCTGTTTTGAAACCAAAAACTGCCCTATTTTTCCCTCCTTCTAGGAGAAAAATGGGTAACAATGACTTGAAACTCATGATTATGGTCCTAAGATATTTTCTTACAATAGGTTTTAAGGGCCTTCAATATAGTTTCATAATGCATATATTTAAACAAAAGACTGGCTTAATTAAGGACTTTTATAACATTGGACACATATTTCTTCCTATTTCTTTTCTTGTACTTTCTGCTGTTTATCATTTCCATTGTCTACGTTTATAACATTCACATCGTATTCTGTAACAGTACTTCCCATAGTTGTTTAACACTAATTTTATATTTAAATTAATTCAGTCCTCATTATCGATCATTTTGCCTTAACCTGCTTTCTTCCTCCGTTGATTCATCTTTACAGTGTGTGTATGTTATTAGCTGCTCTTTCCTCTAGAAGGGCAGTGTTGCCCTTTCAGTGAAATGCTGCCTGAACTTCCTCATAATTGAAAATGTCTGTAGTAAAATGACATTTGAGTTGGGCACAATATTTAAGTCACACTTTGCTTCAGTAACCTTGTAAACAGGATCTCAGAATCTTGTAAGTAACCAACATTTTACTAGCAGTTGCTCTATAACTTGGTTTCTTTCCATTGTGGCCAAACTAAAATTTGAAGATTATTGCATTAGATTATGACCTTTCCTTGTTTGGCTGCTATTGGTAAATTTTTTTACTTCTACGCTTATTATTATTCATATTTCAGTAAGTGCAGAAGGATATAAATCCTTCGATGAAATTTCCATCTGCCATTTTAATCTAGAAGTCCCTAATAATTAGTATTAAACATGTGAAATACATTTTGGAATCTGGATTGAAGCCAACATATTAACAGTAATTGCTTCATTTTGCTTACGTGCATTAAAAAAACTTGGCAGAAAACCTAAAAAAAAAACCCAACAAACTTTGAATTTCAATCAACAACAGAACTTCTTTGGGGCTGTTTTATTATGGTTTTACACAAAAGTTATCCTAACATTTTCTTCTGCTGATACTCATCTTTACTACTTTTCCACTATAATAAAAAATGTAAACAGTATTTTGTTTCTTCTGAATATAATTTTGACACTGGGCCCTACCTACGACCCATCCACTGTGGAGAGAAGGCAATTTTCTTAGCTGGGAAGTAAATGTGCTAAAAATACATATGTATCCTTCATAAATATATATATATATATA